ATAGGTCATCCTAAATGTATTCTATGAGTAATTTTACTGCTCAAACTCATGACTTATACGTCATCCTAATATAAGCTATGACTAATTTTACTACTCGAACCCATGAATTAGGTCACATACAGATATAACTTTTCCCGTGCTTTAAGGCTTCCCCTTCAAATTAACAGCAACAGAGAAGGGAAAAAAAAATAATCTTGCACACAAGCAGCACATTATGAGGAAACAGATAAATAATGTAAAAAATAACACAGCAATTTACTTTAAGGTTTCTTCTGCATAATTGGGATCCATTTTTCTAGGGAAAAAATTGAATCTTTTTCTACAAAACCTTAGTGGGTCGTAGAAATTGGCTTCAATATATAAATATATAATCAATAAAAAAACTTGTTTTATATACCGTTCAAAAACAGTACTTTCAAATTTATATTTAGGGTGTGTTTGGTATGAAGGAAAACATTTTCCTCATGTTTGGTTGGGTTAAATGTTTTGGAAAATGTTTTCCAAATCAACTCATTTTCCTCAAATTTAAGGAAAATGACTTCCCTTCAAAACTTGAGGAAAACATTTTCCAAAACTCTCTTCCAACTTCCAATTAAAAAAAAAATTGTTGAAAAAATCAATTTATTTTGTCCCTACACTCAAACCAATCACCCCCCCCCCCCCCCAAAAAAATAATAAAATTTTAAGTTTATTTTTAAATTCAATATTTTTACCCCACCCTCACCCCTACCCCCACCCCCACCACCACCCCTCCCAAAAATATATTAAAAGTTGCTTTTAAAAGATATTTATAATTTCAATTTTTTATTTTTTATCCCCTACCCTCGCCCCCCCCCCCCCCCCCAGCCCCTTCAAAAAGAAAAAAATTTAAGTTTGTTTTTAAAAAATATTATTTCATTTTTCACCCTTACCCTCGACCCCCTACCCATTCCTCCACCCACCCCCTACCAGCCCCCCCACTACCCAAAAAAAAATTTAAGTTTGTTTTTAAAAAATATTTTCGACTTCAAAATTTCACCCCTACCCTCGATCCCCCCACCCCCCACCCACCCCCTACCAGCCCCCCCCCAAAAAAAAAGTTTAAGTTTGTTTTTAAAATGTAGACACATAATTTTTGACCGAATTTAAGGTATTACACCATTTTTAGTACACAAATATTGCTTTTATATATAAATTAAATATTTTATTTTTCATCGTATTTTAGTAAGTTTATTTTAAAAGATTGAAAAACTACAAAAAATATATGTTTTCTTTTAATTTTAATAAATAAGCTAGTATTTCTTAATTATATTTTTAGACTAGCTATTTGACTTTTCTCATATTTTATTAATTCAAAATAATTAATTAATATTTTATTATTATGGTTTATATATATATATAAAATTTAATAAATATAATAACCTAAACTACCCACACTACCTCACTACCCCCACTACACCTACCCTCACCCCACATACTCCTCCACTACCCCACTCTTCCCCCCCACATCCACACACACTACACACACCCACACTCCACTATATACTACTATATTATACACACTACAAGATACATGTTCCATATAGATAGAGGGAGAGGAACACAAAAACGAAAAAAAAAAAAAATCATCAGCAACCAAACACACACACACATACGGACAGCATACCAAAAAAAGGCACACAACACAACATAGCAACACAGGACCACCGAAAAGAAAAAGAGGAAATCCATTTTAGTTTTAGTTTATTTTTCTTTCAAATATTCATTAATACATTCACATATTTTCTTCCTTTCTCATTACTACTTTATTTAAACACAACACATATACCATAACGAATCATCTACAAAAATTAGTGGGTGTTCTAATCGAGGTTCAGTCAAGATTTTGCGGTATTCAACTTTTCCCTATCTCTTTAATTTATTTATGGAATTTGATGTAATTTTATGACAAGTTTTCTTATACGTTGTTTTATTCATTAGTTTGATTGAAATGATTAATTTGTTAGTTGTTATATCTCTCTATTTAATGTATGAAGGTAGATTTAATCGATAATTATTTTTATTTATCTAATTCCCATTGTTAGTTGTGATCTCTTAAAAATAAACGAGTCATAACATTGTTCTTATCTTGATTCAGATAATAATGATAAAGTAGGTATAGTTAGGATAAAAAACAAATAAATAAATAAATAAATTATTGTTGTTTAATTTTATCAAACAAAAATTATATTTATTTTTAACAATTCCTTATTGTTTTATTTGATTTGAAAGTGTATACTTAATTTTGATATTAACTTTAAGAGTAATAAAAATATAAATATTAAAATGTAAAATAAAAGATATAGAAATGATGCCAGAATTATATATTGTATCCTCAACATTTAGATTTATTTTACTTTATTTAGTTTTATGTATAAAGGAAGAATATTTGTTTTCTAATGACTAGATGAGTTTTAGGCATATTAATAAATATTTGTTTCAATTAAGAATGTGGTTACACATCTTTTTTGAGACAGTAAAAGAAACTCAAGGATGCGGTGACACACCTTGTTCAAAAAGATAAATAATTTTTATTAATTTAAAGTAAGACTTATAGACAATTATTAGATGATATGCGAAGAAGACAGTTATGTCTCTAAATGTCAAGACTAAGAATGCGGTTATGCATCTAGGTTGAGACCAAATAAAAGTTCAACAATAAAGATATGAGTGAAACTGTAGCATATAAAATATATCCAAAATAATTTAAAAGTAAGTAGAAGTCAATAAAAGCGACCGTGCTAGAATCACGGGACTCGAGGGATGCCTAATACCTTCCCCTTGGTCAACAGAATTCCTTACCTAAATTTCTAGTTCGCAGACCAAAATAAAGAGTCATTTCCTTTTGGTTAGGGATTAAAAAGAAAAAGGTGACTTGGAACACCATAACTCAATTCCAAGAGGCGACTTTGAAAAAATAAAATAATCCCTAAATCAATACCGTCACTTAAATTGGAAAAGCCCTTCCGCCGCTATGCACAAAAAGGGGTGTGACATCTCTGGCGACTCCGCCGGGGAATAACCAGAATTTGAGCTTTGTATATTTGAGTTTTACTTTATTTTATTATATTATTTCATTGGATATATTGTTTTGATGACCTAATTTGCTACTTGCTGCTCATTTGTCGCTTTGATATTGTTGAATTGTATATAATTTGTCTTCTCGTACACCATCTGAGTCTCTAAAAATAGGGTAGTAGGGAATGCAGTTATGCATCCCAATTTCTTTTGAGATAAAGCTGGAGTGTCTGGGCACCCAGTGAAGGATTTTAGTCACACATGTTGATGTAGATCAAAGTGACATTACTTCAAGGAGGCCTTTCACAAGAAGTCAAGCTAAGGATCTTCAAGCATTGCAAGCTTTATGGATGAAGATGGAACCTTTGGAAGGCACCAACATGGAAGACTTGAAGATATTTAATATATTAAGTGCCCTACCATTTTAATTACCTTGTAATTTTAATGTAGGGCAATTGAGTCTTTCTTCACTATTTTAGTTTTAGTATAAATAGTAGATATTAGGGTTTCATAAGTAGTTTTGGACATGTTATGCCTCTTGTGAGAGTTTGGAAGCCCTTTGTTGAACTTCAACATTTTGTCCTAGAATTTGCAAGTAAGATTATTACTTTCTTGAGGATTCTAATAGATTAGGTGCTTTTATTTCCCAATTAAGTGGTGTTTTTGGTTAGTATCACCATTACATCTCTTAGTTGTTTGAATTTAATTGTGTCTATCTCTTTTATCTAGCTTTTTTTATTTTTATTTTATTTTTATTTTTATCTTCTTGTTTCACATCACATGTTAGGCAAGGTTGGACCAGCAATGAAGTCGGAATAGCGCTGCTACCGATAAGTTGCCCCTCCTTGGCTCAAGTTGTCTACTCGGGTAAGACAGTCTAGATACCTTTCTTATTCCGGTTTGAACCTAGTAAAACTAGAACATAGACACAGTTATCCCTAAAAAACTCCGAATCATGTGACTTAGTGATCCTCAAAACAAGAGTTGGGTCCGTCCAGGACAAGTATCCCTCTCTTACTTGACCACTTAGCTCATTTTATGTGCTACATGAAAATGCATTTATTTGAAAGTTTCTATAAGTTGACTCATTTTAGTATGACTAATGCAATGAATTTTTTTTTTTATCTTTTGATCTTATTTTGAAAAAAAAAAAGAAGAGAAAACACGAAAATATTTCTTCTTTTATAAGTTATTATACATTTCTTAAAATAAAATAAAAAATTTGCATTACTTAATGAAAAGAATAATAATATTTTTATTTAGATTTTTTTCATAAAGTTTGTAAAAAGAAAATTCAAAATATTTTAATTTCATAATACTTTGAAAAGTTACATTTGTCAAAATAAAAAAATAAAAATTCAATATCTTAAAGTTTTTTTCACTGTCCAATCTGGACGAACTACGCACACCTGATTCTCACCTCAATGAGATACGTAGGCAACCCTCTTTGGGTTCGGTGATCTTTATTCAAAAATAAAAAATAAAAAATCTTTTTTCAAAAGTTCAAAAAAAAAAATGGAAAACAAGAAGATTTAATCTTTATAAAAAATAAGTATTTATTAATTTTATTTTAATAATTCAAATAAAAAAAAACTAAAGAACTTTATATCAAAGCTCTAAAAAAGAAAAACTTAGTTATTGAGTTTTTGAAAAAATATGCAAAGATCTTTGCAAGCGTGTTACGTATGCAATCTCAAACGGATTTGATCAATGCATTATTTAAAAAAAAAAAAGTTATAACTGAAGAAGGTCTAACCCTAACAAGCATTATTATATATGCACAGTTAAATTAAGGTGGTTGATTTGTGGTTAAGCTGGCATCCCATCCCTATAATACAAGGTCAAAAGGGAAAAAGAAAATGACTCACAAAGACGGAAATGAGTCGGACAATGATGAGGTCCAGAACCAGATGATGTCACAAGAAACAGTGTCAACCGAAGAGATAATGATACTAAAATAGCAAATGACGGAGATGTACGAAGCTTGGATGAGTGGACAAGCTCCACCGCCTTCAATTCGTGACTATCTAAATACAAATATGTTACCCCATGTCCAAGTATCAATGAGTGATCCAATCTATCCACCTGGATTCGGTCCCTATGCTAACGCATCCAATGTAGCTGGAACTTCTACAGTGCGCCTTTTAAGTACGCCTATGACAAGTAATCCACTATTCATTCCAACTGCGCCGACAAATGTCGTTCAACAACCTATAATGGAGCCAAAATCCAACAACGATCCTCCACCCAAAGTTCAATATGATCGAGATTATACTCCTGAATTGACTTTTAAAATCCCAAGCTCTTACCCTCACACTCATCAGTATAGTTCCCATGTTGAGGCTGAAAAAGCTGTTAAGAACGATGAACATGAAGAATTTGCTAGAAAACTGAAGAGTTTGGAACAAAGTGTAAGAGATATGCAAGGATTGGGAGGTCACAAAAGTGTTTCATTCAATGATTTGTGCATGTTTCCCACGTTCATCTACCCATCGATTTTAAAACTCCAAAGTTTGAAAAATATGATGGACACGGAGATCCTGTAGCTCATTTAAAGAGATATTGTAATCAATTGAGAGGGGCTAGAAGCAAAGAAGAATTGCTCATGGCTTATTTTGGGGAAAGTTTGATGGGAATTGCCTCAGAATGGTTCAGAGACCAAGATACTTCTAACTGGCATACATGAGATGATTTGGCTCGATGTTTTGTTCAACAATTTCAATATAACATTGACATAGTTCCAGATCGCACTTCACTTGTCAACATGAGGAAGAAGACCACTAAAAATTTTCGTGAATATGCTATTAGGTGGAGGGAGCAAGCTGCTAGGGTTAAGCCGCCAATGAAAGAGTCTGAAATGATCGATGTTTTCCTTCAAGCGCAAGAACCAGATTACTTTCATTATTTACTTTCCGTTGTTGGAAAAACATTTGCTGAAGTTATTAAGATTGGTGAAATGGTGAAAAATGGCATCAAGTCTGGAAAAATTGTAAGTCAAGCTGCCTTGAAAGCTACAACACAGGTGATTAAAAATGGATCAGGAAATTTTGGGGGAAAGAAAATGAAGGAGGATATAGCAAATGTTGTGTCAAGCACACAAAAATGTCCAAGGGGTCCACCTTATCAATCTGCACCACCTCAATACCATCATTATCTCCCTATGCAAGACACACAATATTCTGTTGTTCCACCTCAATATGCGGTTTACAATGCACAACAATATGCATACCCACCAAACTATCCTCAATGGCAAGCGTCAACATATCAAAATGTTCACCCTTCTTCTCAAAATTTTTGAGCACCTTATAATCTTTGTCCGAGACATGGATTTGGAGAAGGTCAAAGGCCTAGAAACAATTTCACACCAATTGGAGAGTCTTACACAAGTTTATTTAACAAGTTGAAACATTTGAAGATAATAGAGCCGATTTCTCAAAATTATGTGGATCCACATGCAAAGGGTTTCAATCCTACAGCACGATGTGCATACCATTCTGATGCTCCAGGGCACAGTATTGAAGATTGTCATAATTTTAAAAAAAAGGTGGAAGAGATGATTCTAACAAAGATGATTGTGGTTAAAAATGATAACCCCCCAAATGTTACTAAGAATCCTCTACCGGCACATAATGATGTACACTTTATCGAGATGATATGTGATGACAAAGAATATGACAATTCTGAAGAAATGGCAATTGAAATTGGTAAAGCTTTTACGAAGGCTAACGTGCAAAGCAGTGGCTAAGAAGTTCAGCTTGGTGATTGAGATACACTCTTCTTTTCCCTAAAAAGAGTGTATAAATAGTTTATTTTGTCATCATTTCTGCTATACAATCATTTTTATTTTTAGTAAGTCAAATCTTTTTATCATTTCTCTTATGCGTTTGTTTGATTGAGTTTTGTCGTAGTTTGAGTTATTATAGAGTTGTGACCTAAATTTAGTTTGTTGTCTTGTCACCAAGTTTTTTTTTAATCTTTAATATAATCTTTATTCTGTGTCACTTTGATCCGTTCTATTTGGCATTACACATATACATCTCTTTTCAGTTCAATTTTGTGACATGATATGCAAAAGGATTTGGTCAGATCTTAAGATTATATCTAATCATGAAATGAATACGTCAAAGAATTTTTATTTTTTTTGAGGAAATGAATAAATGACTTAGACACCTTGATACTACCTTTAGTAAAAAATAAATAAATAATAATAATAAAAAAAAAAAAAATCATCTAACTTGACATGTCATTTGTTGTCAAGAAGGTATTAATCAAATGGAGATTCTCCGCTTACAATCATGCAACAAAATGATATATATATTCATCAATACATATGTTGCAAAGAAATATTGAATGATTTTCACTTCACATCTTAAAGGAAATTGCTTGTATTTGACATTTTTAATAATTGATATGATGAAGGCATTTCATCCTACTATCCAAACACCGTGTAATCCTTTGATATCCCTTTTGAGCCTTAATTTTATTTTTCTTTCATACCCCTCTTTTGGAATCAAAATACAGTAAAAAAAAAAAAAGTCAAGAAAGGAGAAAAGTGAAAAAGAGAAAAAAAAAAAAAAAAAAAAAGAGAGAAAAGAAAAGTTGGAGTGAAAAATAAAAAAAAATCTAATAACAACAAAAAGCAAACTTCCTGAACTACGTTCGACCTGATTCTTGCTTTGACAAGATACGTAGGCAACCTTATTTTGAGGTTCGGTCCAAACAAAAAAAAAAATCTAGAAAGTCCTCATCACAATAACTGGGGCAAAAATAATAATAATAATAATAATTATTATTATTATTATTATTATTATTATTTTATTGTATTTTTGTAAAAAGAGTCGATTTCAAAAGTTATAAGTCTTAACCCTATTACGCAGTATCTTTGAGCTTTCATGCCAATCCTTTCATTTTAACCCTGTCCAAAAGCCACGTTACAATCCAAATAAAGACCTTCTGATCAATTTTTAACAATGACAAGTCAAGCAAGCTTTCAGTGTTGATTATGTAAGGAAAAATATTATGCCACTCGCATAAGGAGTGAAAAATGAGGGAATCTTATCGATGAAAATCCTCAAAATCCCTATAGGAGATCATTTGAGTTGAGAGAAAGTGAAAAATGAGAGAGTCTTATTGGTGAAAACACTCAGGGCACCGTAAGACGATAATGAGTGAGAGATAAGAAAAAAAAGACTTGTTAGTGAAAACCTTTCGAGGCACCACCAGTCAAGTGTTGTCATAAATCTAGTGCAAAAGTTGAATTATAGAAGTCTGACTTCAAAGTTGAAAGTTTGACAAAGATAAAATTTAGATTGATTGGACAGACCAGACCATTTAATCCAAAAAACATGTCATGATCATTACAATTGACCACCACTATCAATGGAATCCATTTATTTTTATTTATTTATTTATTATTATTTTTTTCTTCTTAAAAGGATCAAATATTATTTCTTCTTATTTGCGTCTCGCTCAATTCAATCTTGAGATAGTCTTCATTAAGCAGGCAGAAAATAATTTCAAAATTGCTACCATCTCTTCAATTATACAAAACAAAGCTTGATTAGCCCATCAATCGTGACATAATTCAAGAAATAGTGATATGCATAGTAACTTGTCAGCAATTGACAATTTTTGAATACAAGGTTCAATTATTGTTGGAGGGTGGAAACAGTATAACAAATTTGAAGTTAGAAGTTCTGAACAACTAGAGATGTTTTCAAGATTATCAAGGTGAGCTGACTAGCAAACGAAAGCAGTCAATTTCAAGCTAAAATTAGCTTCAAACATGGCAACAACAGGAGCAACTATCCTCAAAGCTAATGCCACAAATCGACCACCATAAAAAATAAAAAAAATAAAAAAATAAAAAATTATTGCATTGTTTCTCCTATGATAAACGTTTTCTAGTGTGAGACAATTTTTTTTTATTTCTTTACTAGGATAAACATTTCCTAATATAAGACATTTTAAAAAGGAAAAAGAAAAAAAAGGGATAAAATATTGTGGTGATTTTATTTGATGATTCTGTTAATTGAGATCTTCCTAAGTACTGAGATTTAGTTTAGCAGGACCCTCCTACATAATGAGATTTAGATTAGCAGGACCCTCCTACATAATGAGATTAGCAGGACCCTCCTACATAATGTGATTTAAATTAGCAGGACCCTCCTATATAATGGGATTAACAGGACCCTCCTACATAATGAGATTTAGATTAGCAGGACCCTCCTACATAATGAGATTAACAGGACCCTCCTACATAATGAGATTTAGATTAGCAGGACCCTCCTACATAATGGGATTAACAGGACCCTCCTATATAATGAGATTTAGATTAGCAGGACCCTCCTACATAATGAGATTTAGATTAGCAGGACCCTCTTACATAATGGGATTTACAGACCCTCCTACATAATGGGATTTAGATTAGCAGGACCCTCATACATAATGGGATTTAGATTAGCAGGACCCTCTTACATAATGAAATTTAGATTAGCCAGACCCTCCTACATAATGGATTAGCAGGACCCTCATACATAATGAGATTTAGATTAGCAGGACTATTCTGCATCTTCATGATAATCACCTTTCTGGCCCTATCTCTGAAGAAATAGGTTACCTAAGGTCTCTTGTTGGGTTAAGTTTGAAGAATAACTCTCTTGATGGTTCTATTCCTGCTGCATTGGGGAATTTGACCAAGTTGTCCCTTTTGTATCTTTATGATAATCACCTTTCTGGCCCTATTCCTGCAGAAATAGGTCACCTAAGGTCTCTTACTGATCTGCGGCTGTACAATAACTCCCTTAATGGTTCTATTCCTGCTTCATTGGGGAATTTGAACAACTTGACTATTCTGCGTCTTGATGATAATCACCTATTTGGCTTTATTCCTGAAGAAATAGGCTACCTAAGGTCTCTTACTCATCTAGATTTGTGTTCTAACACTCTTGATGGTTCTATTCCAACTTCATTGGGAAATTTGACCAGCTTGTCCATTTTGTATCTTTATGATAATCACCTTTCTGGCCCTATTCCTGAAGAAATAGGTTACCTAAGGTCTCTTACTGATCTGCGGTTGTACAATAACTCTCTTAATGGTTCTATTCCTGCTTCATTGGGGAATTTGACCAACTTGTCTATTTTGCTTCTTGATGGTAATCACCTTTCTGGCTTTATTCCTGAAGAAATAGGTTACCTAAGGTCTCTTACTGATCTGCAGTTGTACGATAACACTCTTGATGGTTCTATTCCAACTTCATTGGGAAATTTGACCAGCTTGTCCATTTTGTATCTTTATGATAATCACCTTTCTGGCCCTATTCCTGAAGAAATAGGTTACCTAAGGTCTCTTACTGATCTGCGGTTGTACGATAACACTCTTAATGGTTGTATTCCTGCTTCATTGGGGAATTTGAACAACTTGTCTGTCTTGTATCTTGATGGTAATCACCTTTCTGGCCCTATCCCTGAAGAAATAGGTTATCTAAGGTTTCTTACTGATCTACAGTTGTACAATAACTCTCTTAATGGTTCTATTCCTGCTTCATTGGGGAATTTGAGAAACTTGCAAGTTCTGTCTCTCCATGAAAACAATCTGATTGAGGAAATTCCTTCATCTATTTGCAATTTAACTTCGCTGACAATCCTGTATTTGTCGAGAAACAACTTGAAAGGAAAAAATCTGCAATGCTTGGGTAATATCAGTGCCCTCCAGTATGTGATAATGTCACATAATAATCTCAGTGGAGAGCTCCATCCGTCTATTTGCAATTTAACATCACTGCAAATTCTAGATTTGGGTAGAAACAATCTAAAGGGAGAAATTCCGCAATGTTTTGGCAACATGAGTGGTCATCTTGAGGTTCTGGATATGCAACACAACAATCTTTCTGGAACTATTCCAACGACTTTTAGAGCTGGAACACTTAGAAGCTTCAACTTGCATGGCAATAAACTTAAGGGGGAAATTCCCCAATCTTTGGTCAATTGCAAAGAGATGCAAGTTTTTGATTTAGGAGATAATCACCTCAACGACACATTCCCGATGTGGTTGGGAACTCTTCCTAAGTTGAGAATTTTAAGCTTGAGATCGAATAAGTTGCATGGACCGATTAGAACTTTAGGAAGTGAAAACATTTTTAATGAGCTTCGAATGTTGGATATCTCTTCCAATGCCTTCACGGAAAACTTACCGACGAGTCTGTTACAACATTTAAAAGCCATGAGGACAATTGATCAAACGATGAATGCACCAAGTGATGAAGGAGGTGAATATTACCAAGACTCGGTAGCTGTCGTAACAAAGGGATTGGAGCTTGAAGTTGTGAGAATCTTGTTTTTGTATACCACTATCGATTTTTCAGACAATAAGTTTGAAGGACATATTCCAAGTATTATGGGAGATCTCATTGCACTTCGCATGCTTAATTTATCTCATAATGGATTGCAAGGTCATATACCGCCATCACTTGGAAGATTAACTTTGGTTGAATCATTGGACCTGTCAAGTAACCACCTTGTAGGAGAGATACCAGCACAATTTGCTTCTCTAACTTCTCTTGCAGTCTTAAATCTCTCCTACAATCATCTCAAAGGGTGCATTCCTCAAGGAAATCAATTTCATACCTTTGACAACAATTCATATGTAGGTAATGATGGATTACGTGGATTCCCACATTTGAAAGGCTGTGGTACTGAAGGTAATGATTCAGAATCAGAGAAAACTGATACCGGATCTGAGCTTGATGAAGAAAGCAACTCTGAATTTCTGAATGATTTTTGGAAAGCTGCTCTTATGGGCTATGGAACTGGACTCTGTATTGGATTATCCATTATATATATCATGATTTCAACTGGAAAACTGATATGGCTTGCAAGAATCATTGTGGAGGTGGAGCATAAAATTATGATGGGAAGAAGAAAGAAGCAGCGAAAGCAAAGGAGTTACAGAAGAAGCAAATAATCGCATGTAGAAGAGTTAAAAATTCAAGTATATATGCAGTTAAGTTCTAGTTTGAGCTTTAGATTATTGCAGCTAACTATATCTGAATTTTCATATTAGTTATATCAGCAACTAATTGAATGCTCTACAAAGCCTATTTTTCTGTCCAAAATTAGTTGGAAGCTGTGATCCAATTATCTGGTTAGAGGCTTGGTTTAACAAGTTCTTCATGTGTGAACCAACAGATAATTAGTTTTAGTGTAAAATTCGCCGGATTTAATAACTTTCTTTCAAATTGTAATTTGATTTTAGTATAAAATAAAAGACTTGACTTTCTTTGTGTAAATATAAACATCAGACAGTAAATAAACAAATTCAAACATGCAGGTGGTTGGAGAAGAATTTGTTGGAATGCTCATCAGAGATACAATAATTAATATCAGAAACTGCAGCTTATGGTTTATAAGTAGGCTTTTTATTCTTCCTTTATTAACTTTAGGAAATGTAATATTATGAATTTTGATGATACATCAAGTTATATAACGTTTTAATGAATTCAATGAATATTGTGTGTATATTTTCCATCGTACCAAAAAAAAGAAAATGAATATTGTGTGTGTGTCCCTGAGGAGACATTCGATTGAAAAAAATGAAGTGCATATTTTTCGGTACGGTGATAATTCAAGTAGGAAAATTGAAACAACTGATAGTTGAGTTTTGTTTCGATTAACATTGGTGATAGTTAAAGTAGGAAACATACACACATGATTGTTCAAGTATGCAACACAGAAAATCGAGATACCTTAGATGTGTTATTGACCCGTCACTCCTTTTGTTTTGTGTGTTTCTGGATGAAAGAACTAAGTTAGTCATGTATACAAATTCAAGTGCATTGAATGAAGTGTATGGCATCATCAATTCTCTACCGACTCAATAGTCTTTATGTTGATCAAAAGAGAGAGAGCATTCAAAAAAGCTGAATTGACGGAGGAAGATATTTTGGATGCAACAGAGGGAAAGAGAATTAACGAGCCTCCTACAATCGTCCCTCAAGGACCTCAATTTCATACCTTTGAGGGAAATTCATATGAAGGTAATGATGAATTGCGTGGATTCCCAGTTTCGAAAGATTGTGGCAGTGATCTATTATCAAAGGCACGTTATATATATACCATATCTGTGCTTGACAATCAAGAAAGCAATACTGAATTTCTCAATATTAGCTATGAAATTGGACTATGTATTGTATTATATGTAGTATGTTTCATGATTTCAGCTGGAAATCCGAAATGGCTCGCAAGAATCATTGAAGAACTGGAACACAAAATTAGTAGTGTAGTGAATGAAGTTTTTGCATTTCTTGGATTCCTATCTACTTACTGTACAATTTGCAAACTAATAATACTCACTTCACAGAATCTAAGAGGGACTTTATTATGAATAAAACTTTGAACTTGAGAATGCATTATCCGTTGTCCCTAATATAATCAAGCTCGAGAAAGGAGTGAAGGCAGAGTGTGGGATGTCCCTGAAGCTAATTATATCAAGCCAACACCAGCACCAGCAACGATACGAATGGAGGTTTTCTATCTCAGATTTCTAACTCATGGGAAGAAATCGCTAGTATTTTTGTGTCTCTACTAAGATTTGAACCCTACAGATCTCTTATGGTTTTCATCTACTTCATTGTCCGTTAAACCACACCCATATTAATTATCAGTACAGACTCAATAGTTTGTGGATAATTTGTGTTCCAATCTCATTACTTGAGATTCTCATTTACATTATCAGATAGTATAAATCTAACTTCTTTTTTTCTTTGGGGAGCAACACGAAATAGTCATTATACTTTTTAGATTCGGACAAGTGGAATGAGAACGCAACAAAACTATTTGGTAAAGTCCTTATCTTAATTATATGTGTAACACATTTACATTCATAATTCATTATGTTTATTGACTTAACACAACAACTAGTTGGTTATGTCCTTGTCTGAATTATATTAAATGTGTAACACATTTACATTCATTATTTATTATCTTTCTTGACTTAACGCAACAAACTATTTGGTTGTCTTTGTCTGAATTATATGTGTAACACATTTACATTCATTGTTCATTATCTGTCTTGACTTAACACAACAAAACTATTTGGTTAAGTCCTTGTCTACAGATGTAAGTGTACCTTTCAACGAAATTGGACTAGTCAAAGAAATTTGCCTATATAGATATGAATAGCCTTTTCTTAATTTTCACTATCAACTCTCAGTACACAGACTTACTCAGTATTTAGAAGCAACTTGGACTAAAACATGGGATACAGGCAATTCTCATTTCTGCTCTTTGTCTGTTTCTGTCAGCTTTCTTTTTCTTCATCCATACCTCATTCGTGCCGCAAAGATCAAAGCACTGCTCTTCTAAAATTCAATAAAACTCTCACTTTAGATCCCTCATTAGTTACGTGTAGTTCCTACTCTTATACGAGTTCATGGAATAAGAGCAGAGATTGTTGCTCGTGGGATGGAGTCATATGTGATGAGATGACTGGCTGTGTGATTGAACTTAATCTCAGTTGCAGCGGTCTTGTAGGAAAAATAGATTCCAATAGCAGTCTCTTCCAACTCTCTCATCTCCAAAGGCTCGACCTTTCTTCTAATAACTTCTCTAATTCTCACATCTCGCCTGAATTTGGAAGGTTCTCAAGCTTGACACTTCTTGATCTTTCTGACTCCTATTTCTCAGGTCATATACCTTCTGAAATCTCTCATCTTTCTCAATTACAGTCTCTTCGCCTCTCCCCGTCATTTGAAACTATTCTAAGACTCACCGCCCATGATTTGAAATTGCTCCTTCAGAATTTGACTCAATTAAGAGAGCTTGATCTTACTTCTATAAATATCTCTTCCACCATTCCTCCAAATTTTTCTTCTCATTTGACAACTCTGAGGATGGGAAATACAGGTTTGTACGGGATAATACCTGAGAGTATTTTTCACCTTCCCAATCTGGAAACACTTGTCTTACAAAACAATAATCAGCTCAGTGGTTATTTTCCGAAGACTAAATGGAACAGCAGTGCATCTCTCATAGAGTTAGATCTCAGTGGCGTGAATTTTTCTGACAATTTGCCTGAGTCTATTGGCTATCTAACTTCACTGCATTCTTTGTCTCTTAAAAATTGCAATCTTAGAGGGCCTATTCCTGAAGCTCTTTTGAATCTCACTCTCATAGAGGATTTGGACCTTCAATATAACTCCCTGAATGGAACAATACCATCAGGGATGTTTTCTCTTCCGTCTCTAAGTCGTTTAGTCTTGAGTAATAACCACTTTTCTGGTCAGTTTGAGGATTTCAATTCCAATTCACTAATCTGGATTGATTTAAGTAATAATCAGCTGCAAGGCCATCTTCCCAGATCGATTCAAAACCATGTGAACCTAACAGGCCTTATTCTTTCTTTCAATAATTTTAGTGGCCATGTGGATGTCAGCTTCCTTGCTGACCTCAAACAACTTTATTATCTTGATCTTTCATATAATCGTATCTCGTTGACCAATGAGAACAAACATAATGTTACTTTGCCAGGATCTCTTATGAGCTTACAATTGGCCGCATGTGAAGTGAAAGAATTGGAGTTTCTAAGATCCGCTAAGCTTCTTTGGCAGTTGGATCTTTCAAATAATAAGATTCAAGGAAGAATCCCTAATTGGGCATGGACTAATTGGATGTTCTTATTGCAACGTCTTAATTTATCCCACAACATGCTGGAAAGTGTTGACTCAATTCCACTTCTGTTTATAGAAGCTATTGATTTGCGGTCCAATTTGCTTCAAGGTTCACTACCTATTCCACCAATTTCCATAAGATTCTTCTTCATATCCCATAATAATCTCACTGAAGAAATTCCTTCAGATATTTGCAATTTGACATCACTGGTAATGCTTGATATGGCAAGAAACAACTTGAAGGGAGCAATTCCGCAATGTTTGGGTAATATCAGTGGCCTCGAGGTTCTGGATGTGCACCACAACAGTCTTTCAGGGACTCTTCCAACAACTTTTAGAATTGGAAGTGCACTCAAAAGCTTCAACTTTCATGGCAATAAGCTGGAGGGGAAAATCCCACAATCCCTGACCAATTGCAAGCAACTCGATGTTCTTGATTTAGGAGACAATCACCTCAGTGACGCATTCCCTGTGTGGTTGGGGACTCTGCCAAAGCTGAAAGTTCTAAGTTTGAGATCCAATAAATTGCATGGGTCCATTAGATCTCTACCGACTGGAAACATGTTTCCTCAGCTTAGAATATTAGATCTCTCCTCCAATGCCTTCACAAAAAACTTACCAACGAGTCTATTTCAACATTTGAAAGCCATGAGGACAGTTGATCAAACGATGAACGCACCAAGTGATGAAGGGAATCGATATTACCAAGACTCGGTAGCTCTCATAACAAAGGGATTGGAGCTTGAAGTTGTGAGAATCTTGTTTTTGTACACCACTGTTGATCTTTCAAACAACAAGTTTGAAGGATTTATTCCAAGTATTATGGGAGATCTTATTGCACTTCGTGTGCTGAATTTATCTCATAATGGATTACAAGGTCATATACCGCCATCACTTGGAAGTTTATCTTCAGTTGAATCATTGGACCTGTCACGTAACCATCTTGTAGGAGAGATACCAGCACGATTTGCTTCTCTTACATCTCTTGAAGTCTTAAATCTCTCCTACAATCATCTCGAAGGGTGCATTCCTCAAGGACCTCAATTCTATACATTTGAGAACAATTCATATGAAGGTAATGATAGATTACGTGGATTCCCACTTTCAAAAGGTTGTGGTAACGATGGTAATGATTCGGAGACAAATTGTCACGACCCAAGCCTAGGGCCTAGACGTGACCGGCGAATGGGGAAGCCGAAGGAACCCCAAACAAGCCTCATAGCGTATCATTACACATCCTTGGTCGCGGAAGCAATTAAAATGACCATAAGTGATAAACATAATCAAGGGGAAATCG